TCAGACCAAGAGGAGCTCTGCGTATGACAACTGGGGGCTCAGTACCCCACTCCCCACACAGTGCGTTTATGATGCTAAGATGGTGATGGCAGGGGTGAGAGTGGAAAGCTTTTTGGAAAATCACTCAGGTCCCCCCACAGCCCTTTTCACCTGCCCTCGGTTTTCTGCTTCAGCCTTTACTCATCTTCAAGTTGTTCCATAATTGTAAACCATAGCGTTTGTTTCAGACCTAACACGTATTCTTTTTCTTCTACAGGCTTCTTTTTGTGAGGTAAATTCTTAGTCCTGATTTTATGGGAGTAAGGATATGACCAGATTTTTTTTTTTTTTTAAATGTCTGTGACTGTTGGCTTTCCAAAGGATAGTAACATATCCATCTGCTCCTAAGAAGGTGTGACATGTTTGTCACCAGTAGTGGTGGTCATTTTGTCAAGTTAAAAAAATACTGTCCCTGGATTATCTGTACAGTTTACTTTTTCAAGGATGGTGAATATTTTTACATCTGTTAATTGTACCGGCTTTCCGTTTCTTTATACTGTCCTTAATCATTGTTTGAGCCCATGTCTTCGGTTGTATTAGGTATGAGTCTCTTGTGTTCCAAATATTTATTTTCTCTCATTGCTGCCACAGCAGAAAACGTTCATAATCTGTGTTATTCTAGTGTTGTTTTTAACCATGTGGGAATTTTTGGTGATCTTGTACTTTAGATGTTTATCATGTTGTCTCAAAAGAGATGATTAAGATGAAGATGGGCCTGAACACCCTGTTCTCCAGGGTGTGTGTACGCATGCATGTGTTAGAAAGTATGCCAGTTAAACATTTAGATCCATCTTTGCCTATTGAATGCCCCTCTAATTGCTAATCAGCTTTCTCAACTCTAAAATAATTCTTCCTTTGCCACTGTTTTAGAAGTTGATGATTTGACAAACATGCTTCCTGTTTGCCATGTAAATGTTTTGTTTTATAAGTTCTTGGAGTTCAGATGTTTGAAGTCTTGATAATTGTTTTTGTTTTGTTTTTTTCTTTTTTTCTTTTTTCTTTTTTGGACAGGGTCTTCCTGTAGCCCCCAGCTAGCCTAGAGCTTACTATGGAGACCAGGCTACCTTTGTTCTCACAGAACTCCATCTGCCTCTGCCTCCCAAGTGCTGGTATTAAAGACTTGTGGTACCATGCCCAACTCTTGATAATTGTTTTTGCTGCCTCCAAAGTAGCTTTTAGATTGTTCTCTGGTGGGTCTTTTGATATCTGAAAAGCCAGAGAGAGGGGGGAGAGGAGAGAGACAGAGAGACAGAGAGGAGGGAGGGAGAGAGGAGAGAGAGAGATTGATTGATGGTATTGGTGTTAATTAAAAGCAGTTGGTCGCTGACAATGAAGTGAGGAGATAGCAGGACTCTGATCACTTTGTGTCAGGTCATTTTGGATCAGGACTGGTTTCTTCATCACTGTTGACTTTATGGCCATCAAAGAATTTTTGTAAATGCAGATAGAGCCTGGGTGACTGACTCAGGAGTGCTCAGTCCTTTTTCCTTCCCCTGAGGTTCTGAGATAGCTGAGCCCACACCTCAGGAGCTCCATCCTGACTTTGGCTCCCTACTGATGGAAGACCATTGTGCCCTGTTGTGAAGACTGGCTTAGGCTGGGGGGCAAACAAGTGTTCCCATTGTTCTTCCCTGTAAGTAGAAGGATATGTCTATGGGCCCCTGCTTAGCTAGAGAGAGAAGGCTCCTGAGGGAGGAGGCCAGGGCCCTCTCCTTCCTGCCGAAGCTCAGCTGGTGATAGAGGGTTGGGAAGTAGGGTGGAGAAAGATTGAAATTTGTGGTTCTCCTTTAACAGTTTCCTCATCTGAGAATTGGGAAGTCAGTGCCACTGGGGTCCTCACACCCTAGGGCCCAAGTTGTCATTTGTTCAAAGGAAATGCCATGATGCTCATACATGTTCTTAGTTGTAAGTGGCAGGTGGGACATGCCATGTGAGTGTGGCTCCCTGTACCCTGGATGATTAAGGAGTTTGTGGCCATTGCTGGTGTGCATCTGCTAGTGCAGTGCTAGGTGTTAGGAATTATCTACCACACATGAGCATTTAGAGTTTATATCCTAGCTGTTGGAGTTCTCTTGCTTGAACTTAGACCCCAGTGTCTGGTCTATGCAAGCAGAGCTGTTTCCTGTTTGGTTGTGGGGCTTGTGGGGTAGAGGAGAGTGAAGCAGATGGGGAGGGCAGACAGAACCCTGAATTCTGGTTTCCCTTGCTGTCTGTGGTCCCCTGTGTATGTCTGTGTTCTCCACACTGAACTGCTAGAGCTGAAGACCAGAGATCTGCAATGCAGTGGTCCCATGGCCCCTGTGTCAGCACAGGATAATCATGAAGGCCTGGGGTTAGGGAGCAGGGTGAGTCAGCAGCACTGTGGAAAGCAGACATGTATTTGCTGGTGGGAAAGAGGGAGGCAGACTTTATTGCCTGCTCAGAGCTCTTTACCATGCTGGCCTAAACAGTAGCCACAGAGCACTTTCTAGAATTTCTAAACATTTCGGTTCCTGTCTGACCTGCCCCTCAAGCTTCTCAAGGAACCCCAAGGAATAACGGGTGTGATTTGCTTCTCTAAGAACAGAATTGCCTTGTCTATAAAAAGGAACAGGGCTTCTAACATTTGAGACATTTTCGTGTCTCTTGGCCCATTTCCAGCTCAGTTGGGTGGTCATAATGAATTTAAGGTTTAATTTTTTTTTCCCTACATGGGAGAATCCAGCTATCTGTAGTTATCCCTCTCTCCCCACAGTGCTTACAACTCAAAACAAACAACCCTGGAGCTATGGGGATCCCATCTCTGGTTAGGTAGATGCCTGCAGGGGCCATTGTAGCCCTACTGGGGTGCTGCACTCAGCCAGTAGGGCTCTTTTGCCTTTCAGGATCCCACAGAGACAGCAGACCCCTGTGTGGTAGCTGCTCCACCAGGCATGGACCTGTTCTGTCTATGAAGATTCAGAGGCCAACTAGACCTAAGCAGAATGGGGGTGAAGCTGGAATCCATAGAACATGAGGTTCTGATGCTGTCAGATGGGGCCCTCATGGTATGGTAGCATCAGGGACCAGCCATGCATGGTCTGTGTCAGGAAAGGACACAGACTTCAGCAGGACTGGGACTTGGCTGGGTCTGGCCATGCCACTGAAGAGCAGTGCCCCTCCTCTTTCCAAGTGAACTGGTGTTTCTTCCTGCAGCTACTTGTGTGGCCTCATGATGCTCAGGTCTCCTGGCTATGTTACCTGGTGTCCCACAGCGCTTAGGCAACTGGGATGAGTGGTCCCACTCATTCCTAGAAGACAGTTCTGTGGAAGTATTCTGATGGTGGAGTGATACTGGGATAGAAACAGGGCTTCTGGTTGACTGACAGGCTGTGTTTTCACTCCCAGCTGACAACCACTATCCTCTCATCCCCCCTGGGAGCTGGAGCAGGCAAGGCAAGTGAGTGAGGAGGTCTAGGCAGTGGTATGGAGTCCACACATTGGGGTGTGGTCTCAGGGCTGATGTCTAGGGGGATGTGGGGTCACCTGCCTTTTTTTGCACTATTTTCTCAGAATGTTGCAAACCAGCTCCTGTGCTGTCAAGGCCATCTCTTTGGGACTGATTTTGCAAATGAGCTCCCCCAGGAAGGCAGCAGAAGTTGGCCCTTGCAGGTTCCAGGCTACAGGCTCATCTCCTCACTGCCAGGGTTGACCTTGTTTGTGCTTGCCCTGGGCCCTGCTCCTGATATGTCTGGACCCTCCTCACCCTGGGAAGTATGGAAATATGTTCGTGTGTGTGCTTGTGTGTGTGTGTGTGTGTGTGTGTGTGTGTGCTCACACATGCACGCACATATACACGTGCCCATGTGTGTGGGGGGGCTAGGGTAGGAGCACCCCTTCTCCTCTTAGAGCCTCAAGTCTTGCCCCCTTCTTTCAGCTTGAGCACCTTCTCTCCTGCCTCACCATTCAGCCATGTTTTATGGGTGGGGATGGTGCAGTTGTTAGGGGGTCACCTTGATTGCCACTAGGATTCACAAAGGAAAGCAGTACAGGTGGGCCTGGCCCTGTGAGTACTCTGCAAACAGACAGATAAGAAGCAACCCCCTCTGTTCACTCTGCAGGTCACAGGCAGTTTCCACAGAAGTGGTATAGTACAAGCCCAGGAGGCCAATGCTGTTGTCATGGTAGGGGTGGAGAGGAGACTGGGTTGGGGGAGTGTTGGCTGCTGCTGTGGGCTTCAGAGGTGTCTCTACCCAGACAGGGCCTTCTCCCCTCTGGACAAGCTGAGCCTGGGTGCTTGTCTCAAATGTTAGGCAAATGAACATGGAGACATAGCTCTTGTCTTTCTGTGTTTCCTCCATGGTTGGATCCTGCCCAGGCCTGCCTGACCTTTCAACAACCGTGGTTCTCAGTTGGCTCTTGTGGGTGAATGAATGTGCACTGTGAAATCCATTCTCTGTGGTTCAGATCCTGGGCTCTGTCATTGCCACCCCTCCCCACCGCCCCCCAATCTCCCTTTTTTTGAGACAAGGTTTCATTCTTAGTCCACTTACTGTGTAACCTAGGTTGGCCTCAAAAGGTAGTCCTTAGTCTCCCAAGAGCTGGGATCACAAGTGTGAACCACTGTGTCCAGTTTCCCAGTTATAACCTTTCTGAATCCCAGTGTCCTTGGCATTTGGTGGAAAAGTCAGTGCTCAATTGAGAAGGGGTTGAGGCAAATGGGTGAGAAGGTTCCAAATGGAATTCCTGGTACTTAGAAGGCACTTAAAAATGATCATTTTTCCTTCTTTCAAATTTCCCCTCTTTTCGTTTTTAAAGCTGACTGAACCTGATGGTTGCCTGACTTCTAGCTGGCACTGATAGTAAACCTGTGCTTGGAGGAACAGGTGGACATGAGGGAAACAGTGGAGATTCCTGAAATCCAAGCTGGAGCCTCACCCTACCCTTTCCTTGGGGAGCAGGTATAAAGCAGAGCGTGTCCTCATCCGTCCCTGTCTCTGCAGGTCCTGCTTCTCAGAAGATGCACTATTATAGATACTCGAACGCCGAGGTCAGCTGCTGGTACAAGTACCTCCTTTTCAGCTATAACATCGTCTTCTGGGTAAGTGCAGGGGTGTGGCCATGTTCCCATCACAAACTCAAGGTTCTCCTCAAACTAATGATGTCCAGACCTCGGTGAGGCCCCAGAAGAGGTGGGGGCAGTCTTCATGACCCCCTGCCAGGAGTGCTGTGTTAGGGCAGCCAAGGTAGTTGAAAGACAAATTAAAGGCCTCAACCTGATCTTGGGGATTCAGGAAGCCTTGGGGCTCTGAATCAGAGGCCTGTCTACCTTCCCAGTGAGACATGGGCAGCCAGGTGCCTTGTGGGCCAGGCTCTCTTCTATGTCCTGGGAGTTAATAGTGGAGTGTCATAAAGTCCTGTCCTTCTGGTGCTTGTGGTTCACCAAGAACAGTGCTAGCCTGCTGAGAATCATAGGTCACCGGGGAGCACTCCTTGCCTGGGGTCAGGGAAGAGCTGTGCTGATGAGGTGAGTTGGGGGCTGAGACCTGGGTACTGTTGAAGAGGTAGACCAAGGGCATGTGAGGAGGAAAGCTTAGTCAGAATGGTGGTTACAAAGGCCCTGAGGCAGGAGCGAGCTCAGCACGTACACTACACAGCACAGCACAGCGTGTGTCTGCAGCTAGAGCTGAGTGAGAAGGGGAGTGATATTCGGGTCATAAAGGGTCTCAAAGGATAGTTGACATTTTCTACTTTTTTTCTTTTGATGCTAGATATTGAACTCAGGGTCTTGTGGTTTGCATTAGGCAAACCTTCTACCGCTGAGCTATACCCATCACGCACTTTAATTTTTTTTTTTTTTTTTTTTTTTTGTGTTTTGGGGACAGGCTCCCCCTTGAGCCCGAGCTGTCCTGGAACTCACTATGTAGACCGGGTTGGCCTTAAACCCCAAAAAACCCCCCTGCCTCTGCCTCCTGAGTGCTGGGATTAATGGTGTGCACCACCACGTCCAGCCACACTTTTTTATGTCAGTCTGGTTATGTTGCCGAGGCTGAACTTGAACCTATGTCCTCCTACCTCGCCCTCCTGAGTAGCTGAGATTATAAGCATGTGCCATCACACCTGGCTTTCTACTAATTTAAATAACTTTTGGAAGGTTACATGGTGGCCTGGCCCCACTTTGGAGTGATTGCAGAGTGGGGGAGGATGGCAAACCTTGTGCTAGGATGGGACTTTGGGGCTGGGACAAAAGCTTGGGCTTTCTTTTGGCCAGTCTTCTCTGAAGGCATCAGTGACCATCCTGGGGATGTCTTAGGAAAGGGTGAAATGAGAGCATCAAGATGAGGGAGCTGGCTAAAGACTGAGTATTGAGCCGGTGCTGAGGCCAGGTGGAGGAGGGAAGCCCTTTAGGAGCAGCCACGATGAGTAAAAGCCTGAAGTAAAAGCAGAGTTTATTTATTTATTTATATTATTTGTTTGGTCTTTTTGAGATAGAATCTCCCTGTAGCCCCAGCTGGCCTGGAACTCAAGTGATATGCCTGCCTCTGCCTCCCAAGTGCTGGGATTAAAGGCCTATACCACCACCCCTGGCAGTAAAAGCAAATTTTAAATTGTAACTTTTCTGTGCAGGGGGCTGACCTTGGTTAGAGGTGGGAAGGAAGGACTACCTTTTGGAGGTTAGCAACCAATAGAAAGCAGAGAAATGAAGCAGTTCTTTCAGGAACTCTTCCTCGAAGAGAAAAAAAAAAGTTGGGCAGTGGTTGGGGATGGTCAGGGATTCGGGGGGATGCATCTTGTGTGTTTTGCTTAGAGGACTGGTCCAGGGGGAGGCAGGTGCTGGCACGCTGGGTGGGAGGGTGAGGGGACGTGATCATGTGCAGGAGCTTTTACATCAGCAAGCTCACTTGTCACTGTGTGGCGCCAAATGGGGAAGCAGGGCAGAGCAAGTGGCAGTGTTGTCACCTTTAACTTCTCTGTGGGTTTGGTGTTTACTGTTGCTGGATGGCAAGGCAGGTTCACTGAGTCTCTTCGCTTCCTCCCCTCCTTCCCTCTTTCATTTGTGCCCCTTCCCACACCCCCTTTCTTTTCCTCAGTGCTGGGGATAGAACCCACAGCTTCATGCATGCTCTGCTACTGAGCTCCATCCCCACCATCCACTTCTCCTTTTCAGTTTTAGGGCATCACCTCCTGGCTATCAATCCCAGCGTGTTTCTAGGTTTCCTGTCCTGAAGAAATAGGGTGGGATTCAGTGGCTTGGCCTTTTACCCCAGGCTTGTTGCTGTGCTCAGATAATCTTTCACCAACAATGTCATCTTAGTTACTGAAATAGGGCATTGCTGGATATCAATGTGCATGTTAGCTTTCTGTCACTATGACAGAATGCTAGAGATAGTCAGTGTATAAAGAGAAAGGTTTATTGTGGCACACGCTTTAAGGGGTTCAGTTCATGACCACTTGACTTGACCCTTCTAGGTCTCTGGTAGGGGGTGTCAGATGGCAGTGGTGTGGAGTGTGGAACAGAGCAATTTGCTCTCCTAATGGCCAGGAAGCAAAAGGAGAAAGGAGTGTGCTAGCATAACATAATCCCTTCGTGAGCACACACTCAACGACCTTAGGGTCTCCCAAAAGTTGCCCTTCTAAGGGTTCCACCAGTTCTCAGCACCATCCTGAGAACCAAGCCCTCACCACATGGGCCCATGGAAAATGGGAAATATCCAGTATCTGAGGTATTGCAGTGTGAACCCTGGTTATGGAAGCCCATGTTCCTTCCTCGCTGTGTCTGTATTTTACACCTGCATTTTGCACTCTGTCTAGAGACACTCCCCATCCCCCAACTTGCATGGCTTTGTATCTTGACCTTCACCTCTCCTGCTTTTTGCAGGCAGAGCAGTACCCTCATCTCCACCATGGCCGGGCGCCCTGGTCACCTCTGTACCGTTAGAGTCAGAGGCATTTCGTAACAGATTCTTGACTCTTGGGGAGCTCTTCTCACTTGCTCACTCACACTGATAATGGCAAATTCAAACAGTGAAGTTCATGAATCTGGAATTGTATCAAGCCTGCTTGATGCAAGGATGTGGTGTATTTTAAGGGTTTTGCAGAATTGGCAGTTAGTGTGTGGTTGAGAGTTAATCATTTCTGTTAGTGAGCACTGGGGCAGAACAGGAGGGAACAAACAGGAACAGTCAGGAAATGAGGACGTATGACTGGGAAATGCCAGGCACCTTGCTGGCCCCTCCCTGTGGTCTTGACCTGTGCAAGAGCACACAGTGTGGAGGGAGGCCCAAGAAGCCTTGTTTGCACAGCCTTTTGGGAGGCTCACAGAACAGCAGTCTGCTCTTGGCACCTGGATGCAGTCTGACCTCTCCCCTGAACCGAGTGACCAGGAAAAGCCTGGTGTTGTCACTGAGAAACATTGATAACAGCTGCCTGTTGTGTCACAGTGTTGCTGAAAAAGTAGAAAATGGTGTGCCATACCCTTACGTCCTCTGAGTTTTCTTTTTTCAAATGGAAAAAATAGAAAAATGTACAGAGCCTCATGTTCCTGTCATCTGGCCTCAGAAATCCGCTCACAACAGCTTTTATTTCATTTGGGTCCCCCACCCTCCCTGGGATTACCTTGAACCAAAGCCTGGATGGCTGGATCATTTTCACACACAGTGTCTGTGTGTGTTTGTGTTGAATTCACAGTGAGCTGTGGAGGACTGCTCAGAGACCAGTTTGACTACTCCAAGGCAACCTCTTGTTTCTGTGAGCAAGAGGAAAGTGGGGGTGGTGAGGCGGTGGCTGCTTTGACTTAGCAGTTTGTCCCATAGTTGTTTTCTGTCATGGATGGATCCCTGTGGCACTAAAACAGTTTTTGTCAGCGTTTTTCTTTTTTTTTTTTCTTTCTGATTTTGAGACTTGGATTTCCCAGAAACTATTATCTACTTGGGATAAGACCTGTGGCTGCTGGTGTCTCTGCTGAGATTAGTTGGGCTTCACAAAGAATGTTTGGGAAAATTGCTTCCAGCCAGCCTAGCACTTGTTTTTTTCTTTAAATCCCTTTTTGATTGTGCTAGATCTGCTTCTAGTGCAGAATCTCCGTTCAACTCAAGGAAATGCAAATCAAAACTACAATGTGATACCACTTCACTCTCACTAAGATGTCTGTCATTTAAAAAACAGCAGAAAATAAATGTTGGCATGGATGTGGAGAAATTGGTGCCCTCCTACATTGTGGACAGGGAAGTAAACCATGAGCTGTGCCAGAAAGCAGTGTGCTGGTACCCCAATTAAAAGTGGAATTGTCCTGTGCTCTAACAACCCCACATCTGGGTAGATACACAGAAGAATCTCACACAGAATGTCAGAGATATTTGTACACCTGTGTGCATAGCATTATTCACCAAAGTCAAACGGTACAAGCAGCCTGTGCCCATTGACGATTCAGGGATCAGTGATCTGTGGTATTATATGTCGGAGAATCTAATTCACCCTTGGACATGCGCCACAATTTGGATGAACTTTTAGGACATTATGCTAAGTAAAAGAAGCCAGATAACACAGGCAACATTTGATTCCAGGATAAATGTCGAGTAGTTCCACATATAGTTCCTAGAACAGTCAAAAATTGTAGACACAGAACATGGAATTTGATTGCTAGGTGACGAGGTGAAAACGGGGGTGCTGTAGTCTGTGCTGCAATTCAGAGTACCAGCAGCTGGGTCATTTACAGCCAACAGAAGTTTGTGTGGTTCATGGTTCTAGAGGAAAGAAGCTTATGGTGGAAGGCATCAATGGGTGAGAGGTTGAAAGAGGTTGAAAGAGGAGGCCAAATTCAGTTTTTTTGTGTAGTCCTGGGGATGAACACAGGGCCATGTGTGTTCTGGGTAAGTGCTTCACCGCTGTACTAAGTCTCTAGTCCCCCCTCACTTTTATGAGAAATCTGCTCTGGCAGCAGTGACATTCATCCTTGTAACCTAACTGCCTCTTAAAGGTCCCGCCTGTACTAGTTACTTTTCGTTGCCGTGATCACCGTGACCAAGGCAAATTATAGAGGAAGAGTTTATTGGCTTACAGTTCAGAGGGTTAGAGTCCATAATGGATAGGGGAAGCATGGTG